GTATTTCCTATTCAAACATGCTCCCACTGCCCATCGCAACTGCCTCCCCACTCTAAACCCTCTTCTGCCTGAGACCACAGAGTGAGATGGAACTCTCGGCACCTCCACAAAGCCTCATTATTGCCAGAATCAGAGCGTGAAACCAGCCATAAAACAAAACACCAAAAACCCAAAAAATAAAAGTTGAGCCCCAAAGGCCTCTGTGGTGAGGTGCTCCTGAGACCAGTCCTTCCCAGCCAGCAGAGAAAGCATCCTTTGATTTAATTCTGCATCGTACCCTTGCAGCTCAGACATGCTTTCTAATGATCTCTAAAGATTGTCCCATCATCCAGTCCTCTCCACAGGAATCCCAGAAAGTGGAAAAAAATGAGATTGTTGCTTGTCTACGGTAGGCGACCACCCACACTCAGCAAGGGGGTGAGCTGGGAGCCAGGCCTCCTGTGACGGGCCCAGCAAAGTTCCTGCAGTGGAAAAATAGCCCTGGCTTGCTGCTGCTACTGCTGCTGAGACAGCTGCTGTGATTAGCTTCTCTCCCACACTAACAGCCAGAGCTATCCATCCTTTAATAGTCCTTGGACCCTCCCAGCTGAAATCACTATTGCCTTCCAGGATAGAGTCCTCCCTATCTGGTTCCTGGAACAAACCTCACCACAGACTTGAGAGTTAGTTGTCTGAGTGCAGATGAGCTTGTCTTGGCTATCTGTGTTCTTATCTAGTTGCAGCCTTCTTTTATCTCCTGTCATCTTGGCCCAGGCTAATTCTATGGACTTCTGTCTTGATATCTCTGCCTAGCAGTCTGACCCCCAGTTACTAGCAGGTACTCTTGTCCCCCAACCGTTGAAACCAGCCTGCGGCCAAATTAATTTCCTAAGTCCTGTCTTCCAGCTTCCTCTCCATCAGTAGCCTTGTCCTGGATTATGTATAAGGACAAACAAAGGGCATGGAGGCAGAAGTTGCTTGGATAAATGCCTCTGTCTATCCTGCCTTCAGCCATCACCAGAATTGTTCTGCAGGGCAGTGGGAGGAGAGACACTGGGAAGAATTTCAAAGTCCAGCTGGAGTCCCACCAACACTAAAAAGCCTTCCCCAAAGGCTCCAGCCCATCTTTACCCTTCCCTTCACTAGACCCTCACTGGATTTTTCACCTGGATCCAAGTTTTAGACTTAATCACACACTTTGTTTTGTGATCTGTTTTATGTGTCTCCACAACTGATCAGAAACTTCTAGAAAATATGGACTATGTTAAATATAACTACATTATATAAAATTGCCCAGCATTGCACTGGGCGGGGATTATCCCTGCCTGCCACCTAGGTTTCCAAGCTACCAGACACACTGCTGCCACAGCCAGCTTGCTAAACATAGACCTGAAGTGGCCACTCAGGGCTCTGGACAGTCCATTCCCAGCCCATCTCCCAGCCTCCACTCTCTACACTTTCTGCTTCTGGACCTTTGCTCACAGCTCCACCCCAACCTGCCCGCCCCCCCCCTCCCAACACCAAAAACAGGCTAAAGCTTACTCTTCAAGATTTTCCAGGTACCCCCAAATACCATCTCTTTCCTAGAGCCTTCTAATGTTTTTGTCAGAAGTAGTCACTCCCTGGAATTTCCAGAGAAGTATTTTCATACTCCATATTTCAACATATACTGTCTAGCACATAGTAAGCACTCAATAAATATGTTTAAAAGAATAACTAAACACCTTCTATTGTGGTTATTTATGCTATGAATACCTCTTTTTCCTCCACTAAACTATAAGCTTTATTATCTCTGTATACCTCATCTGGGCCCAATAGATGTTGAAACAGTAGACATTCAATATGTGTGTACTGAATTGAATAGTAGATATTCAGTAATGAATAAAATGAATGAATAAAATTCACTGAAATGAGTGTATCTAAGTAGTAGGTACCAGCATAAAAGGTTTCTATATTACTTAGTACAAGTGACCAAAAAACCCAGTTTAGTCTAGATTATACATTCATAATGAGTCATGTAACTAACTCATCTGTAGGAACAGCAAGGGTACAGTAGGATATGAGGTAGAGTTGATTCAAATGCTTCCAGAACTTGCTCTTTAGCTTCCTTCTCTGTCTTTCTCTGCAGGTAAGCTTTATTCATTCCTATGGCAGGCTTCTTTCATGTGGCAGGGAATATAGTCCCTCATACTTCCAGAGCTTCACTCCTCTGAGTGTCCACTGCTGGAGAGAATCAAGCCTCATTTTCTTTTTGGCCTTAAACTCAAAAATCTCAGGAAAGAATATAATTGGCTCAGTTTGGGTCAGGTAGAGATGGGGCCTCTAATACAATGACAGTTCCCATATTAACAATGAGGAGAAAGACCACCTTAAAGAAGACCTGGGTCTGGGAGTGGGGAGGATATCTGCTGTTCTAGACAGATAAAACAGTAGATATTCACAGGAAGGAGAGGTATAGTCTGCATTCAAGAAATCTGGGGAGAAATGACACAGGTAATTTGGGGAACTCAAAGTGGGACTCTCAAGAGGCCAGAGGAACATACTCTGTTAACAGCTAAGGGAGAGACAAGGCTGACTGCATTTTCTTCAAGTAAGAGTCAGCTTGAGGACAGGGTCCACAGTGATGGAAGCCCACTAGACTGACCTGCTCTGGGGAGGCCATGACACCTGGATGAGGAGAGCGGGGCTAGAGCTCAAGAAGTAGAGAACATGCAAAGTCAAGGGCATGGCAGGGATAAGAAGGAAAAGGGTCTAGTCAGAGGCTAGTCAGCCAGCCATACACAACAGCCCAACTAGGAACTTTCGATGCTAGAGACAGTAACCCGCCTCTTGCCATGGTGGGGGAAGGGGCACAATTCTACCCTCCCACACTTGGCGGTTACTTTTTTTTTTTTTTTTTTGCTGTACGTGGGCCTCTCACTGCTGTGGCCTCTCCCGCTGCGGAGCACAGGCTCTGGACGCGCAGGCTCAGCGGCCATGGCTCACGGGCCCAGCCGCTCCGCGGCATGTGGGATCTTCCCGGACCGGGGCACGAACCCGTGTCCCCTGCATCGGCAGGCGGACTCTCAACCACTGCGCCACCAGGGAAGCCTGGCAGTTACTTTTATGTGTAGATTTATCTTTATCTTTATCCATTCTAGATTTCAAGCCCGCTGCTAAAAGAAACAAGGCACCAAGGCTCTGGGTTTCCAGAAAACACTGGAAGGCTTCAGGGGCTGGCTCAGTTATAGAGATCAGGTAGGTGACAGCCACCCCACTCCCACATTCTCCCTCCTGTCTACAAGGGGGCTGGAGTTGGGATGGGGTCGGGGCGTTCTTCCCTCATCCCACAAACCCCCACCGGTGAAGGGGACACTGGGCAGATCTACCTGACACTGGCCCAGGGACCCCAGCCAGCCAGAGGCAGGACAGACTTCAGAGCCCCTTTGGGCAGCACCTGCCCTGCACAGCCTGCCTCCCTGGAACCCAAGGAGTTTGAGGAGAGGATCTAGCCTTTCAAATACTAACCAGGCATCATTTCCCGGCCCCCACATGCCAGGCAGCCAAAGCAGACTCTTCCTTTAATGGGCCCACACATCTGGCCTAAATTGTTACTCCTCCAAGACAAGTTTACGGAACAGTTAGGCAAGGCCTCCGCGCACAGCCACTGCAGACAAGCTTAAAATACACTTTAATACATTTAAAGCACCATTTCAGAGACTGCCTTTCTCATGATAAAGATGCAACTGACACTCACTGGGGACTAAAATGTCAAGCGGTTGCAGTCCGGCAGGGAGCCTGACAAGCCATTAAATCTGAAGCTCTGTTCTGCTGATTCCTTTCCTTCCATTGCCCTGTCTTCCCCAACAATTGATCTGGGCTCCTGAAACTGACATTTTGGTAGGACCTTCCAAACTCTAACAAGGTACCATCTCTATCCCTGCCATCAGTTCTTCCACTGAAATGCCCTGGGGAGTGGAGTGGGATGGACCAGAGGAGTTGGAAGAGAGGCGGGGAGTGAATGAGAGCACACCTCACCTTTGGTGTCCTCTAAATGCCAAAGAGGAGGAGACTTTCAATCTCTAGGAAAAAAGGACTGCTTGAAAAACAATCCATGATGACTTCCAAAGAGGGTGACCCTAAACTCCCCTCCACACCCCTGGAACCTTCCATCTGCTGGGCTGGGCTGGAAAGGAGAGGCACAAGGATAGGCAGGGGCTTATTCTGGATTCAGCTCCCAAAATAGATGGCAGTAGGCAACCTCTAGCACCACATTAGGAAACTCTGAGTTCCGAGCCCAGCCCAACCACTCTAAAAAGTTTCTTTACTTTTGTCTCTTTAACTTTCCCTGGCTCAGAAATAGGACATAGATGAGTTATTGAGAAATATTAGGATAGAAAAATAAAGAGAGGAAAGAAAGGACCCCAATGTTAGGACACTGGGAAGGGTGTTAATAGGCAGAGGGAAACCAGTTGTGTCTAATCCACAACTCTGTTTCTCCACGTGCACATGGTTCTTCATCCCAGGGTAGGGAGGTCGGATGGCAAAGGAGGACAGGTGTGGTGTGAGGTGTTGAGTTAGGATGGGAGGATCAAAGAGGTCTCTTCCCAAACCCTGAAGCTGTGGCCAGTCACCCGTCTTTCAGCATAGTTTACAACTCTAACCTCTGAGGTCTGTGTTAACCTGCCTGTCATTAGCATATGAATGTGTGTGTGTGTGTGTGTATGCGCCTGCTGAGGTAGGTGTGGGAATATATCAGTCAATGAAGACATGCAGCGAGAACCAGTTGATGGTGCACGTTTGCACCTGAAAGCCAGAATTTTTCAGGCAAAATCTAGGAGTGGCACTGTTGCACAATGCTGGTGGGTGTGTGGCTGCTGGGTGTGATTAACAGTTTATAGTCTATGTATAAGTGTGCATGGATGTCTGAGTGTGTGCAAACTAAAATGGAAATGTGTGCCAGAACACGATACAAGTGCAGGAGAGTACACAGGCTTTGGAGTCAGTCTGACTTGGCCTTGCATCCTTGCTCTGTTACTTACCAGGTGTGTAATCTTGGGCGAGTCACTGATCCTCAATCTCAACTCTGAAATGAAAATAATAAGACCCTTCAAGATTGCCATGAGCATTATAAACCGTATATACAAAGCTTGTGGTGCCATAGCCCACACAGAGTTGAGCTAAAAAGTAGGCAGCTGTTGGGACTTCCCTGGTGGTCCAGTGGTTAAGAATCCGCCTTCCAATGCAGGGTATGTGGGTTTGATCCCTGGTCGGGGGAACTGTGGGGAACTAAGATTCCACATGGCGCGGAGCAACTAAGCCCGTGCACCACAACTCCTGAGCCCACGCGCTCTGGGCCCCAGCGAAGATCCCACGCGCCGCAACTAAGACTTGAAGCAGCCAAATAAATAAATATTAAATAATTTTTAAAATGTAGGCAGCTATTTTCATGCACTGTGGATGTGGGTACAGAGGCAAGAGGGAGCAAAATGTGACCTGGGAGTGTGTGTATGAAATTTGGGTGAGGAGTGCGTACTAATGTGTGTGTATAAGCAAACGGTGTACAGGTGTGTGCATCTAAAGCAATGCCTTCGCCTTGTCCAGTGGGCCCCCTACTCAGACAGGGGCTGGAGGGTGGCAGGGGGCGGTCCAAGTTTTCGCAGACACCTTGGGTTTCTGGGTCCTGGGTCTAAGTGAGTAAGAGGTTGAGAGGAGCTGCAGGAAGCCAACCGCCGGCAGAAGCTTCCTTTTTTCCCTCCACCCAGCAACAGTTGAATACCGCCACCCACATCCACTCCCGCTCCACCCACACCCTACTTTGCTTTCAACAAGGGAGAGAAAGGGCGGGGAGGAAACTCCACAGGAAAGAGGATTCCTCCCCTTCTTTCCCCATTCCGCCTTAAAACAAACCAGGAAGCAGCCACAGCTCGCAATCGAGCCACCTTAACAGTGGAGTAATGGTCTGGCTTCTCGCCAAGTCCCACCCCCGTTCCGTTTCTCGCTCCTCCTCTTTCTCCTCCCGCTCCGGCCGGGCTGGTGAGCCAGAGTCTGCCCGAGTTGGCTGGAGCTGTTGCCATGACAAGCATTTTCTCAAGAAAGCTCTGCTGTTGAAACCGTCTAAAGCTGGGGGTTGAAAGGGGGCACGAACTTCCTGGGGAACTATCCCTCCGAGGAGAGTAAGACCAGAGACACCCGCCCAGCTCCCCTGCACCCTTTCCTTCCAGAAACCTGAGAGGTCCTTCCCTTTGGGAGGGCCGGGGGAGGAGACCCAGCCCACTCCCTGGTCGTGGCTGGAAAGGCAGAAGAGACCAGCCAGCATCTCCGGCGTGGTTGCCACATTGGACCGCTGGGTGGTCACCCCCACCCTACCCCTGTGCATGGACAGCCAGAGGGAGAGTCCCGCGTGGAGAAGCCTGGATCTTTGCTAGAAAGAGAGGTAGGCTTGCAGAAAATGAATTGAATCTTGATTTGTAAACTTAGTTTCTTTCTTTCCTCTCAATGGCTTCTAAAACTCCCTGAATTTCCTCTGACTAGCATATTTCTTGCGACTGGGTTTAGGGTGTGTGTACGTGTGTGTGTGTGTGTGTGCACAGATTTGTCAAATACTGTATTTCCTTCCTAGATTCAGCTCTTAGAAACCATATAATCAAACAAGTGATTTCTCCTTTCTTCCCCCCTAGTTTTTGTCATTCCTGGCCTGTGGGTGTAGGGAAGTGGAGGGACTGTATTCTTCATACCCAAATTGAGCTTTTGGAAAAAGCATTTGTTTTCCCCCATTCGTTCCTGCCCTCCCCCTCCCCCTTGGCTTGGGAATGAGACGCAGAATGGAAAACTGTTGCAAAAATATTTTCCGGGTCCGTTCCCTTTCTTGAAAGCACCAAAGAAAAACGGAAAAAAAAAAATGAGTATGAAATCTTCAACAGGAAGGAGGGACACCAGTGGGGACTGAGGGAGGGGCTCACTGGGGGGATGGCTGGAGGTAGGAGCTAGGAGAAGCTGGGGGTAGGGAAGGGGAATGTACAAATTAAATTTCCTTGGCTTTGTAGAGAAACCTCAGCAATTTCTCTCTACCGCTTGCAAAACATCCTCAGACTTTCACGTCTATAATTAGTCGTGGAAAAAGCCGGGAGTTCCCTCCTACCGTTGTTGTTTGGTTGTTGTTTGAGTGTGTGCGGAGAGTCAAGAACCAACTGTATGAGTGTCTCTGAGGGCACTGCCCCATATATAGCTGTTCCCAAAGGGGAGAAGAGGTGAAGTTGGAAAGTTTGCAATTTCAAGGCTGGTGACTGTGGGGCTGGTGAGTGTTTGGTGGTTGGGGGTTGGCCACAGGCATCCTTGGGAGGGTCCCTGAGCATCCTGGGCCACTGCGCTGTCTTGCTGAAGAGCTATAAATTAAGGCCGGGATTGTCCCTCCTGCTTTCATCCACAAACATATTCACTCAAACACTTGGCTTGCTCTTGGTGTGGAAGAGGCAGGCTGGCATCCTTTCCAGACGAGTCCAGCCTCACACACTCTTCCATCTCACTGAAGGATCCACCACTCTTCTCTTGCTGGGTGTGGGGGATGCGAGAGTGGCTAACCACATCCTGGGAGAGAGTGGGCACTCTGCTGGCCAGAGACAGTACCCTCGTGGGCATTCCTGCCGGACTTACAGTAACTTGCAGTCGGTACCAGCCAGCCTGGTAGGGGGGAATCTCAGCTGAAGGAATAGGCGGGCACTCAACTGGCATCACTTGCGGAGGGGAAGTAAAATCCCACTCTACCAGGCTACCTCCTCCTCTGTGTGGGGTGTCTGGCAGGCAGTCTTAAGATTCTCTTCTCCCTCCTTGAGACTCCCCCCAGAGCTGCTCCTTCTGGTCCTTCCTATTTGGAGCCCCCCCCCCTTTCTGCTCCCTCAGGTCCAGGCCCTCTTTACGAGGAAGGAAGGGAAGGGAAGAGACCTGGGTCACCCTAGGCTGCGACAGGCCACAGAGAGGGACCTAAAGGGTTAGGAGGAGCTGGGTGAGGGAAGGTTTAAGAGAAGGAGGAGGCCAGGAAGAGTTGTGGAGCTGGGTTCCCTCTCTGGTTGGCTAGGGGTGGTGGCCTGGGAAGCTGACTCTGGGAGGGGGTAAAAGGGTGCTCTATGGGGTGGGTCCTGTACCGAAGCTGGGGAGGGGGGTGTTGTGCGTGGGAAAGAAGCACCTGCCCCCTGTCCCAGCTAGTTTGGCTGGAAGAGTGGTAAAGGCAAGAGGTTAGAAACTGGAAAGAAGGAAGCAAAAGAATTGGAGGATAGCAGAAATGGGGGCCGGGAAGCAACAGGAACCAGTTTTCATCCTGAGGTTTTGGATGACTGATCCGCCTGCACCCAAGGACAGACAGCTCGTCTCTCCCTAGATTCTGCTGGAGATGGGAATGAGGCCTTACCCAGTGGGCAGGGGACCCATGACAGGATCCATGCCTTGGTTCTGTAGAAAGCCAGGGAGGAGAACCTATTTCTTTGCTTCTGCCCGGGAGCCCCATCCTCCCTGCCACCATCTTGCAGAGGTACAAACCCCGAAATCACACCGCCCGCCACCCCACTGCTTGCGCCCTCCCATTCTGGGAGCCCATAATCCCACCGTTCCTGCAGCCGACCTTCCCGTTTTCAGTGCTCTGACTAGGGGTAGATTCTGGTAGGCTCGGAAGAACTTCTTGAGAAGCAGAGCGCGCGCCGAGGCGCCTGTCCCGTGGCCTGGAGTCGTGGGTGGGTGGGGCGGCGGGGGGGAACTCCCCGCAGCCCCCTCCCTTCCCGCCGGGGCCGCGGGGCGGGGTCGGTGCCGCCTCACACCCTCGGCCCCCTCCCCTCGGCGGCTCTGCGGCCACGCCCGGTCGCAGCCACTCCTGCAGCGCCGCTCCACCCTCGGGCTCTGCGGGAATCTGAGTACTCCTTGCACCGGGCGCTCAGAGCTGGAGCGGAGGTTACCTGCCTCTGGGGCCGTGCTGAGCCTCGGTTCCTTCCACTCCCAGTTACCATCTCCGTGTCCCTGGCTGGATTCAAGGTCAACTCGAAGGAACACAGCTCGTTTTTACCTCTAGGATTCCTAGCACCTAGGCGCTTGGTCAATGTTGGAAGAAGGAGGTGGCATTTTGGGGGAGTCTGGGAATCAGCAGATCTGGGGATCCACCTCATTCGGGCTGACTCCTAGCTTGCCCTGTGGTCTTCGGTTTCCCCCCTGCAAGGTGGAAAGCTTGCTCCCGCAGTAATGGTGGGAGGGAGTGCTGAGTCAGATTTGTGGGATTTCTACGGCTTTTGGTGTCAGAAGAAAGTCAAAATGGGAGGGCGCAGTTAGGGGCAGAACTGGCGCAGTTTGCCTGAGGTGTGAGCGCCAGAAGTCGTCAGGTGGTGTGGGGGAGGGGCAGAGGTCCCTGAGCAATGGGAAGGGGGAGCCTTACTCTTTCCCACTCTGACCGCAGCCTCTTGAAAAGAAGAGGGGTCCTGGGCCACTCAGCCCAACACCGACCCAGCAATTCAAATATTACACAGGAAACTGCCTCTTATTCAAGAATTTAACTTCTCTCAGCAACCCCCATGAGCCCTTTTCTCTTTTTTTCTATTATCCTGGCCTTGGACCCAGCACCCAGAGAGAGGGATAAGGCCTGCCCATTCCAGATCCACCAAAGCCTTGGAGGGAGGAAAGGAGGTTGTTCATTCTTGGTCCCAGGACCTTAAGAATCACGTTTGGCTTAGGTTGACACAGGTATTTGGTTTGACTTTGAAGAGGAATGCCCTACCCTAGGCCTCGCTGCCTTCCCAGAGTAATTCTTCCTGCCCTCTGACCTCTTCCCCCCAGCCTACCCTGAGATAGGGCTCTCTTCCCAGCCAGTTCCTTGCTCCTCAGACATGCATGCATTGACTTCTGTCATCTCTGATTGCTATTTGGTGGATAGAGGTGAGAAGGAGGGAGGGATGAGAAAGGCCAGGTCTCTGGGTCACAAGGAAGGAGAACATCTGGGCAGAGTCAACTGGGATGACATCCTTTCCCCACTCATTTCCCCCTTCTGTAGAATGGGTCAGAGGAATAAAGCTGGCCCCCCCCCCCCGGGGCTGGAGTCCAAAAGGGTTGCGTGGAATGTTTTGTACTCTGCTTCCTCTCCCAGCATCTCTCTTTGTCTCCTCTTTCCTCTTTCCCTTGTATGAGCCATTCTTGTTCCACTGACTTATTTCCTCTGCACGTGTTAAAACAGAAATGACAGGGACTTCTGCCTCCACCTTAAGCCAGTCCTCTGTGTTCAGCCCACATAAACGCGGGCTGAGGAGGGAAACCAGGCAGGACCTAGTTAGAACCAGAGCCAAGGACTCCCAGTCAGGGGAGGAGCTTTTGGAGGCAATTTGCGTTGGGAGAGGGGGTAGCAGAGACACCAAAGGAGAGAAAAGGGAGGTGAGAACGTAAGTGTCAAGGGCCGAGGGTCCCTCCCTCTATTTGGACTCTCCTCACTCTAGTTCTTCTCTGGCTACAGCCTTCTGCCTCATCATTTCTCTCTGCTCTGTTTTCCCAAGTTAAGTAGAAAAATCTTTGGGATAACTCAGGGAGATGGACAGCAATGAAATCAGTGAGATTCCTTTGCTTTTGCCTTCTTGCCGGATCGCTAGGGCAGAAGGAGCTTGGGGTATTGTGTTTATTGGTGGGGAGCTTAAGGACTCTTAGGTAAGCTCAGGGTAACTCTCAGCTCAGAACACTTCCTAGCATCTTGCTATGATCTTCCACCTAGGTTGCAAAATCAATGTCAGGGGTACAAATTAGTACGGCCCCTATGGAGAGCAAGTTAGCAACATCTAACAAAACAACATATGCATTTACCCAGCAATCCTATTTCTAGAAATTCATCCAGAAAATGCACATTCACAAATACAAAAAGATGTGTGCACAAGGTGATTCTTTAAGACATATTTGTAATAGCCTTACAATATTTTTCTTTAAATACCCTTCTAACAAATTTATTCACTTTTTAACCATTCCTGTGTGGTAAAAGTCACACTTTTTGGTGTCCAGTTCTATGAGTTTGGACAAAAGTGATCATCATATAATCAGCACCGCCATGAGATACTGAACCACGGTGTTTGCCTTTTCCGAATGTCCTATCGATGGAATTGCACAGGATGTGGTCTTTTGTGTCTGACTTGCACTCAGCATGACACAGTTCAGAGGTTCCCATGTTCTTGTGTGTCTCAGGAGTGTGTTCCTTTTTATTACTGAGTAGTGGTCCATTGTTTCAGGTTGTTTATCCATTCCCTAGTTGAAGGACGTTTGGGTTGTGTCCAGATTTTTGGAGATTGTGAATAAATTCGCTATAAACATTGGATTCAGGTTTTTGTGAGAACATCGTTCACTTCTTTAGGGTTATAATTTATAAGAACCTGCCAGACTGTTTTCCAAAGTGGCTGCACCATTTTGAACCAACACTGCATGAGAATTCCATTTGCTCTACATCCTTACAAGCACTTAGTATGGTCAGTTTTTTTTTGGGGGGGGGGTAGTGTTTTAGCTAATCTCATAGGTGTTCAGAGGTACAAAATTAGTTGGTAATTAGACTTATTTGATGTCATCAGCCTGAAACGCCATCACCTAGTAAGAAATAAAGCAGGCATCTCTGGATGTTATCAACCAAAAAACAAAAAAAAAGCAAAAAAAGCGTCTGCTGGGGTAGAATGAGAGCCATCCTACATGATAACTGAGACTTCAAAAAAGTGAATTCATTAAAAAATAACATTAAAATTATGTGTTTGGGGAAAAGGGTGGGGAGGTGGAAACCAGTCTAGATTTAAAGAAACTAAAGAGATGTTATAGCCAAATGCAATGCAGAAACCTTAATTGGATCTTGGGTCAAAAAAAAAAAGACCATAAAAGACATTCTGGGACAATTGGGAAATTTTTAATATAGATATTAGATGACATGTAATTTTTGTTAATCTTTAAAGGTGTGCTAGTGGTCATGACAATGGTTTTATAGGAGAATATCTTTATGAAAAAGTATTCAAGGGCACAGTGTCTGCAAGTGGTTTTCAAATGGTTCAGCAAAAAATGTATATATATACCTCAAGAGAGGGCATACAAGATGCTAACAATTGGTGAATCTAACTGAAGGGTATGGAGTTGTTTATTGTACTATTTTTTTCAACGTTTCAAATTTGAAATGTTTCCTAATACCAAGGTATGGAGAGAAGTACATGCTAGGAAGGACTCCCAGATTCCTAGACTGCCCTCACTCATTGCCCTGACTCCGGACCGACTGACCAAACGGGGCATATTTTCTGAGCTCTCTAGCACCCCCCCCACCCCAGCTCGCTCGCCACCCTCCCTGGGGAGTCTTTGTTTTCACTCTCACTGCTGTCAACATCAGGCTTTTCTTTCTGGGTGGGAGTGGGTGGGGCACAATGGGCTGGGCAGCTGGGCGGGCCAGGAGCAATGGGTGGAAGCAGGCACTTCCCCACAATGCCATGGGCCAGCTGAGGAAGCCTGCGGTTTGAGGGCTTCCAGAATCACCCACCTGCCTTCTGAGGAGGGTCCCCAATTGTAAGAGGAGGAATCCACCAACAGTCCAAAAGTTGTTTCTGACCAACCTTTCACATCCCTTCTGAATTCTATAATGAGGTGCTTCTGAGAGAAGCCAGCTGTGCCTGCCCTGAGCCTTCATGTGTGGGCTAAGCAAGGGCTCCTAGGTCCTCCCTTGCTGGAGCCTGCATAGCAGCTGCACTGTCACTGACCCAAATTACTGTGCTGTCCACCACTGCCTTTTCAGCCTGGTGCTAGCTCTGGAGAGATATCAGGTTTCCAGGAGGTGTATCTCTCTCTCCCCCTCTCTTTTCTCCCTGAAAAGCTTGGGACTAAGGCTCTGTGTGACTCAGTGTTTTTTTCATGTAGCAGAGGGCTCTTGATCCTTTAGTCAATTCACCTTCTGTCTTGCTGAGGGAGGCTGAAAGAGCAGAAGCCAGGAAGTTGAAGGGGGGCAGACAGGGAGGAGTTTGTTCTCACGCGC